CCTCTGAGAGACATTTGGTAAAAAAGAACTCAATGGTGCTCTAGGAGGAGATTCAGGTGATAAGGTGTGGTGGGGGATTACCTTGGTTGCTGATTGGCTAATGGTTACACAAGCTAAAACATCGTTATGACATCATAAAGTGGCCAAAATCTGCTCATTTTCAGACAGGTTTTTATAGAAATAGATCAGGACGAACAGAGAGAGAATCTTTTTTCCTGAAACTTTCAGAGTCTCTTTCCACAGAGGGGACACATGTTGATGTATAAAAGACATGAAAAAGTGGATTTTGCATAATAGGTGACCTTTAAGATGATGAAAAAATTGGGAGAAAGTTGTTTTTCCTCACCAGGGCAAACTCGTGGGAGACCCGTCCGTCTGGAGGAAGCTTTGCTCCGAAGCCCAGCGCAGGAAACATCTTGTCGCTGTCGTAGTCCTGGATGATCTCTCCGACGGCCCGCAGCGCCATGGCGTAGTCGTTGAGCTGGTACGGGCTCATGTAGTGGAGCGAGGTGGGCTGGGACGGGTTGCCTGGGACAACAGAGGTTCAGCGCCATTAAAAGTTACATCAGCATCAAACTGTAATCATGACTGCGTCCCCTGGGCTGTGAGTCATAATTAAAATATAATAAAAAGCAAAGTGGTGTGTGGGAGGGGGTTAAAACGCAGACTGGAGTTTTAGTTACAAACATTTCTCTAAGGCACGGCCGCAGAAATAATCTCGCTGGTTGCCTCAAACCACAGCGGGTAGTGTGAGGAACCATCATCTTTTTCACTATGGCTAAGTTTACACTGTTAAGTTAACTATTAAGACCATGAGCTACAGCGGACCCTCAAAGACACTCTCTGTGTCATAAATAAATGAAATCAGGCGATATGTAATTCCTCAGAAATATTGCATAAGTGTGATAACAATTCTCTTTCCTATCCAAAAATGCAAGAAGCAGCTCTTGACAATCGCAAATAAAAACCGAATGATAAAAACGTTTTTTTAATGTCTGCCTTTCTTTGGCCCTGGTACATACATGAAAGAATAATTGTTACCATAATGTTCACATTAAAATTACAAGACACATTTTTCTTACTACACAATTTAACAACATTTGATAACTTATTTGCTCCTTCAATACTTCCAACATTTATTTACGTTTCTTTAGGATACTGCTACTTATTACCATGGTGTACACATTTGTTTCCCGCAATTTTGTTCATATATTTCTTGCACTTCGCTGCCTTAACGCCGTACATTTCATGCTGCAGGACAAATAAAGGATTTCTGATTGTTGTTTTATATTTTGACCTCCCTAACCCGTATTTAGCCTTCAGCTCCAAACCCCATTAGTTCTTTCTGAAGATGTGAGTTTTCATAAGTATGTCCATATATATATAAAAAAAAAAAAAAATCACATAAAAAAATAATTATTTAAAAACAGCTTGGCACTAGCTAATAGCTCACATTTGTCAAACAGGAGAACATAGTGTATTTGTTGGAGAACATTTGAGATACATATTAAAAACACACTTGGTGCTCTGGTGAGTAATTACTGCAGCTCCCAGGTTCATCATGATGAAGAAACACGTCAGCTACTGAAACGGTGTGGCTAATAAATGTATTTTTAACAATTAATTGGACAAAAAAATAGGGCACTAAAGTACAATATATGTACTTTAGTGCATACAATACATTTTTTGTTGGTTTTGGTCCTTTTGTTTGTTTAATAAGCTAACTTAGAAGACCAATAACCTTGTCCCTGATAATGCATTATGTTGTGCTATAAAATAAATTAGTGAGTTATTATGTTCTGTCAGGGATCAGAATCAGAATACCTTTATTAGTCCCACAGAGGGGAAATTTGCAGCGTTACAGCAGGAAAGAGCCACAGACAGCTTAGTGTTGCATATCTTAAATGCATTAAAAAAGTACTAAGTTATAATATAATAAACAATATGCTAAAAAAAAAAGTTAAATAATTTTCAAAAATACAGAAAAAAAAAAAATCAAATCTACAAATCAAATCCTGTAGCAGTTCTTAGGATTTAGCAGCCCGGTATATATTACAGTTATTAAGATGGCATATGTATATAAAGTATTTATTGCACATAGTTTGACGGTATTTAACAGCAGCAAGTTACACAATTTGCAAAATACTAGATAGATACCTTGTAACAGTAACAAGGGTTTAGCAGCCAGGTATAAATTACAGTTATTAATGGCATATATATATATATTGCACATATTGCATAAAGTTGGTTTGTATTTAGCAGCAAGGGGAGTTATAGTCTGTGTTGTGGTCTGTGTGTAGGAGGGTCTAACAGGGGCAGGGGGATATGGAAATATGCAGAAAAAACTTCAGTGTGTTCCCAATTACCAAAGATATGAAATAATGTAATTACATGATATTATAACTGAAGTGAAAATGGGAAAACTGAATAGATAGCAATAGAGAAAGACTACTTTCTTCAAGGACATAATCTCCAAATTGCATTACATGTATTATCTAACTAAATAATCTCTCACTGAAATGAGAACATCACTCATCTGAGACAAACTGCGCAGAATTGCTCATTTTGCTTGTTTGTCGTTAAGTTGTTGTCACTGATAAATGCACAGCAGTTTACCCGTGGGGTTTAATAAACACCGACTACACAGGGGAAAAAATAATGTCATTTGAAAAATGTGGGTGTAATGAGTATCTGTCAACAGAGGCACAAACTGTACAAGATAAAAACTTCAAACTGAGTCTCGAAGTGTTAGATAATGTCGGAATAATTGTCAAATTTTCAGCTGCTTTATTTCTAGTCTCCAGCTGAGTAAAAGGGGGCGAAGTGTCATCAGAGTAAGTCAATTAAAACTGACTGATAAGGAATCATTAAAGAGTTCACATCAAATAAAGATCACGTTGTTAACCACCAAAAGTTTGATCAAGTTCGATACACTTTCATCGATAAGAGCTTTAAAACACTTACCATTCGATGCCGTGAAATCAATGGCCACCGTGAAATTAATCTGAGTCCTACAAGAGAGAACGGATCACGTTAAGAGGTAAAGTGGAACCGTCAATCACGCTGAATTATGTCACAGCATGTTTCAAAGCACGCTGCAGCGAGCAATTAGGCAGTGGGTTATCGGCAGCTGTCAGTCTTAATGTTGGAGCAAAGAGATAAACATGGTGCTCTAATCCTCTCTGATGAGTCACTGCAGAGTCTACCACCGCAAGGATTTAATGAGGAAAGTAGTGCTGGTGATTTATCTGAAGAATCATATTCCGCCCTCTGTTGTGAACTCACCCGCCGCGGATGTAGTCCAGGAAGGAGAGCTCGGTGTCCACGAGGCAGGAGAGGAGAGTGACCTGTCAGTCAGGAGAAAGAGTAGGAGTTGAAATAATCTGGTTTACAGCATGAACAGGGTGTGTTAAAGGTCTCCTATTATGTTATTTTAATATATAATGGGTCTCAGTTATATAAAAATATATAAAAAACATGTCTATGATGTCAGATCTGTTACGGTAGAGTGAAGCAAGCAGGACCCAAATGCAGATAATACTGATAATACCTTTATTTCAAGGTTAAGAATTAAACTCGGGCAAACAGAACACTCCCCGGTGAACTCAGTCACCAACAAAAGACGAACCAACACTGAACACAGGAAAAGACAAGACTAAATACAGGGAGGGGTAATCACGAGACGAGAAACAGCCGGGCAGGGGAGGAGAAACACAAGGGCGACAGGTGAACACAATCAGACAATTAGACACACCAGGGAAACTAACGACAGGGAGGAAAAACACAGGGGCCGTTTCTCAATCTCGAGGAAACTGGCTTGCAAGCCAATATTTCCAGGATGCTATGTCATCGAGTGCCGCCGAAGGACTGTTCCAATCTCCAGAATACTTGGAATTCCACCAAAGCCACGTCCTTGGTTTGGAGGTAATTTTGAGGCTGCACATGGGTAAACTTCGCGTCCTTAAAATCCCCACAATGCTTTGCGCACGGACCAATTTCAAAAACCCTTGCGGAGAATGGCTGAACCGACGCAGCACATATTTAAATGTAAGTATGAAGTGGCGAAGAACATGTGTTGGTAAATATGTTACTTTGTTAAATTTGTTATCACCAAAAATGTGTTCCGTGAAAGTAAAGCAAGTTCATAATTAGATAGACATCGTGAGGTATTTATTTTCGGTACAGTTTATGTTGAAACCGTTAGAGAGAGTGGCACACTTGTTAGCCTGTTCCATTCTTCTTTGTTTTCCGAAGCCGTGGCTTGGAAGTATACTTGCTTCGTTTCTGAAGGAAGTGACTTGGAAGTATGCGACTACCAAGCCA